CCCCCCCCCCCCCCCCCCTAAACCTAACTCCAAGCCGAGCGGCGCAGATATCTCTGTCTTTGGGCACCGAGAAACAAAAGAGTCAGTAAACAACGTAAAGTAAAAACGGAAAATATATAAAATCTTAAAAAAATAATAACGTAAAATATATAACTTAGAGACTGCGCAAGCCCAACCGCTTTGCCAAAGAGCGGATCGTTCGACGCTAAATCATCTTGCCAAAGTAAGCAAGTACGTGAGTAATGATAGTAAGCGGAATCTAGACGGGATTAGGAGGGATTCCGCAGCTTTCTTGATTTCCAGCGAAGCGACACGCCGAAGCATCGGGTTCCAGAAATCACCTGGTGCATTGAGTCCCCAAAACGGGGATTTCGTGACGGTACCTCCTCAGAACCTACTTGTAAAAGTCTGTACTATTTACTCAGGGTTTTCCCCACAATTGCTTTTGAGTCTACGGAGGTATACAGAGCGTGGCTGAAATGAAAAATCGAATAACCACATCGAAAACTTCCTTAACGCTGAAAATATTTTTCCTCCTCAGGGACCAAGCTCTTCCCTGCTAGGTCACAAGCTTGTTCCATCTATGAAGAAACTCTACCTTTACCTCACTGGTCCGTGGAAGAAAAATGCCAGGGTAGCCCAAAACAGACGATAACGCCGATGTTTTGAGAAGAGCCGGCTGCTCGCAAAAGAATGTAAAGGAAACCGCCAAGCGAATGAACCTCACAGAAATAGAATAGGGGCTATGCTATCCTTTGTAGGTGCGTGAATGTTGCGAATAGTCTCAATGCGGTCGAGCATTGTTTGCCTAAACATCCTCATAACTCGTCTAATGGATAAACCAGTCCGCGAATATGCTATTTATCTGAACTGGATGAATAGTAGATATTCTTTTGATGATTCCGTAGTCCAACTGCACGGACCCTAAGGGACTAATATCTTGGTACCTAGGGAAGTTCTGCGCCACCTTTGCGCCCTGTTCCAATCAAGCTTTGGGTAATTTTGAGCCAGAAACAGATAGCCTAAACTGAGCTAAGACCAACCGCAGGATCGACCCCTACTCAGGATCATCAAGATATCCATCAATCCGGGGTCGGCTTACAAATGCAGACTTGTTTCAGAGAATAGGAACCCCGACTCATTCACTGGATGGCCCAGGTAGAAAACGTGAATGTGCCGCGCCAAACCCAGTCCCTCCCCTAGATACGCCAGAGCATCAGCAGCGATCATGATTGTATACAAAACTCCTGAAAAATGAACAGTGCGGAATTGCTGAGCTAATCAGGTTAGACCTCCTTGCGACTCAATACCCCCCCCCTCGTTGATATTGATTCCACAACGATAGTCTCGGTCAAATCCAAATGCCAATACAATGATGAATGAGTGGACAGCTTGAGGATTGGAAAAAGCAACAGATCAATGTCAAACTTCATGACATGGGTCTTTATAGAAACCAATCTCGTAGGGAGGAGGTGGTATAGTGGCAAGGGGCGCGCTTACCACGAGCAGGATCAGGGGGATCGGATCCATGGTCGGCTCTTGTCCAAGCCAACGAAGCTGGCCAGCAAGCTTTAACAAAACGACAGGCAAAATGACAAGATTCGTCTGGGAGGATAAAACACTGACTTGTACATCGGCTGGCCCACCGCAAGTCATTGTATAGGCCACATCGCATTCAATAAGCCACCACGTCTGCAAATGGAATAAGAATGCCGAGAATGAGAATGTCGCCTCGCATAAAACGTTGGTCGAGTGTGTTACATTTTCCTGACCTCATCTGGTACTAGGAAGTCCCCAATTGGAAGGGGTGGTTCACTTAGATGTCACTTGAGATGGGGACTGATCCGCGGACTATGCATGCCGTAACGGCGATTGAATTGGACCTACCAATTAGTATATGAACAGGTGATAAAGTGCATTGAATTCAAGCCCCATAAAGATGTGTAATAGGGAAGCCAAAGGCTTTGACGTTTTCCAGAAGTTCTATAATTCGCTAAGCCTCTATAATCTCGAGTTCCCTCTCAGAATTCGTTCTCAACGTAGCTCAATCTCGCGCTGCCATGACTCTAGAGATTTGGTGAGCACCTCGGGTTCAAACCAGCTAGATGGTTTCCCACACATCACACTACAGTAACCCAAAGAGTAGAAGAGTTTCAAGCAACAGTAGATGTTGTTGAGCGGCGAGTATTGTCGTGAGGTAGTTAATGCATGCGTTGCGTCAGCATTTTAAGCAATATAGTGTCCTTCTAGTTAGTTACAATCCGGTCCTTCGCCATCTCCTCGACCTTGCCTTCCACTTAACGTCGCTTCGCTTTTTCCAATGATCCTCACCTCACTGCGCACCGAGTTTTTTTCTTCCAGTACGGTGGAAGACTCAAGAGTTGAACGGGGAAACTATAACGACCACAGGTGGCCCGTTTTCTGGAGGCGCCTTGAGCTATCGTGACCAGGCCATGTCCCCTTTTCCTACCCCTGGGGAAATTCCTCTTCCCACATGAATATCCATTTTTCATGCGCCTTGCATTTCCCCACGCACCCGCTGCCTTCCCCTCGCCAATGCTCGGGCGACTGTTTGTGGTGGGGGCTGCACCGAAGAAGAAAGGAAGAGGTGGAATGTGGTACCCAGCAGAACGGTTACTCACGTCACCTCAAAGTGCTTTGTTTCCAAAACTTCCGACCAACCCTTCACAATTCTTTCATTCCCTATAGGTGTACAGAAAACACTGAAAATCATAGATTCATTTGCCAAATCTACTCTAACAACAATACAAACTTAATTACATGATTATCAAAACTAGAAACGAGCACTACGTATCTAACCAACGACCGTAGCACGTTAAAATCTATAAACAAACGACTCGGTCCCAAAACGGCTTCCTTCTGAATTCTCTACGCATGCAAATGGAGCCGTTGAGTTTCTACGTACGGGTTTTCCTGGAAATGAAGATTCATTTCACTGCACTTGTCGCGTGGTAACAGAAGGGCTGCTAAACTAACCTGATCCTTGAGGGCAGCCTTTTTAGCTTGTGCCATCGATGTTGAATTGCGAGAAATCACATTAGTAATGTAAAAATCTGCCAGTACTTTCTGCTTTGGTGTCACATCCACATCAACGGGGCCCGTCTGAAACCAACATTCAATTCAGGCTTTTTAGCAACTTTTAGCGCGAGAACATTTAAATACCGTTGTATTGGCTAATTGAAGACCTTGTTTGAGATAACCAGACTGCTCGATATCGCCTAGTCGTAGAAGATGAGGCGCTATCTGGAATAGTTTTTGATGTGAACCTAAGACAATTTCAGCCATACTTTAAGACAATCTCAGCCATATTTTTCGGAAACTACGAGGCTGTAGCAAACTTGGGGGAGGTGGGGAGTGGGGGGGGGACACGCCTACAGGCTTGTTAGCACCTTGTAAGCCTTTTTACAACTTGTAAAGCACCCTTTCAACTCTTGTCAACTTGTCAGAATGGATATATAGCGCCAAATAAATGCAGGGCCTGATAAGGAGTTTGCAGGGCACTTGACAGAAATTGACAGGACTTTCAGGGCGAGACACGATTGTCCGGTATTCACATGTACACTGTTAACACAACAAAGCCTGTACGTCGAGCGCGTGGTGTGCCCCCCTGTCCAACTACTTTAAAAATGAATGGATAGAACGGAACTTCATTTTTAAAATTATCTCAAATTACAATCGAGCAAATGTCAGACAAAATTCAGTCAATTCATCGGCTTTACCTCAGATATTCTGTGGCGTAACTGCTTAAGGTCATCATAGGGCAACGTTTTTCCAGCAACTTCCGAGATGGCTCTGATAATTTTCCAATCGACGCGAGCTTCTCCTGGTGGAGTGACAGCCGGTAATGTTCTGAAAAAAAGAGAGATTTCAGCTAGAAGGAAGCAAACAAATTTCGCTGACCTAACTCCACGAGGAAAAAGGTGTTAAAGAACACACAGGGGAGCTCAAAAACCATTTTGAAGGCATAAGATAGCTCCCCTAGGTGAGGAGTAAATTAAAGACACACCCCGCCATTGCGTATTGTGGATGGTGGTGTTCAGTTACAAACCTACAGTCGCTAAGTGACCCTCAAAAGCAAAAAAACAACATGGAGAACACCCTAAGGATTTGGCAGCCTCGCTAGACGAGTTCGCTGGACCTGCCGCAAGGCGACTCCTGGCGCCTTCCCCCCTAATCCTTTTTTCGCTCATCCAGTGCTAATACCATCTTACAGTAAAAAGAAAACAACGAAAACGCGGTGTAAAAGCTGAACTCGTAACAGAAAATAGCCTTTGACTTTCGGTGGGCGGGACAACTAGGGAGAGCTGCCACTTATGAAGGACACAACACCTTCGCTCCATTACTACTTAAGTCACGAAAGTCGGTTACTCACAGAGAATGAGAACCATACTACTCCTACAAGAAAGGACGCCCACGAACTGGTTGTGCGCTGGGACTGTCTTTAAGTCTGTAACTACCTTTGAGCCCGCCCTTCTGTGTTAACAAATATTCCTTCCTTTTCTGTGTAAGCAGCTCCTGGTAGAATGACATCGGCCATCTCAGCTCCGGCGTCTCCATGATGACCTTAAAAGGCAAAACAGTAACGAGTTTGAGCCCTACTTTTCGAACCCAATCTGCCCCCCCCCTAACAACACTGGTTTTTCTCTCCTTTTATGTAGAAAAAAATACATAAATAAAGCGAAAAACTAAACAACTTTCACATCCAACTATTCTCATGACTACTAAAACACCAGAAATCAAGCATTCTGACCTTGGTACACGACGAAAGCGGAAGGATCGAGATTCTGCCGAGTGACCTTGCCCTCATCGGCTCCCAACAAATACAGGAACTTAATTGGTTTCTTGCGAATTGCTGCTGTGCCTGCCTATAAAGACCAAACATCGGGCATTGAGTTCGTGGGCAGTCACGTGGATGAAGTTTCACCAGCACAGAGCAAATGGGGGCATACTCATCAAAACTTCACCGTACCTGATATCCAACATCCAAGGCGCCAACTTGACCAGCCCAACGATGCAGAACATTCACAACCTTTCTCGACTTGTCACATGATCCACTTGAACGGACTTTGTCAGCCTGAAAATGTACTTTAGCAAAGCGAGAAGTTGCGGCGAAGCATGAGAATCGAAGTCATTTGCTTTTCTCCTTTCACAAATGAACATTCGTATCGCCATGTGAAATCGTTAATTCTTATAGAGATAAAGCTCGAATATCAATTCTCTTTAAAAGCCCAAATACTACTGCATATTTAGCGTTCAGAGAACCTTGTAGAGAGAAAGCTCAAATATCACCATCTAATATTGAAATCTATAGGCGGTTAGTTTAATTCGCTTATTCGTTTTGGAGGGGCACTTTCCCTGGCTCCTTTGCAAGTTAGTGCTAAGTAATAGGTTACACTTTGGTGAGACTAACAAAATCCTGTGAAGCTGTTAATGGTTTGAGCGAGCCTTTTTGATTTTAGGAGTTTAGAGAGTTTTACAAAATGGCCAGAAATAGCTTTGTTAACCATATGGTACCCCACCAAGCCTAACTGCGTCCACTCTCCCCCCCCCCCCCACTCCCAGTACCTCCCCGATTCAGTGAACCTGATTCAGTCGAAAATCTGGGTAGCACACATCACTCTCGTACCTATGTAGTAGTCACGACCCTTCGATTCTATGCACCCCTCCCTTCATCTAGGTGCCGGCTGAGAGGTCTACGTTGTGGCGATACGAACTATCCAGTCTAGTAAACTCGACGTACTACAGCACTTCCATGGCTAAGACCCATGAACATTGCCCAAAATTTGAGGGTTCTGCAGTAAAAAGAGGAGGTGCATGCAAACAAAGGACAGTGGCTGCTTGATTATGAAGAGTGAAAGAGCATATTCTAAACCCGGGACAGACCTTTTAGTGGTTTGGTTTGAGACGCCGAAAGCTGTCTATCGTGGCTGTAAGGTGGTTGAATGGGCAGTCGCAGCGAGGCGCTCAGAAAATAAGGGCGCAGAAGGGCGCAGATTAAAAGAGCTCAAATCGACGCGAGTTCAAAAAATCCGCAGACCACCGATTTTTGCGTTAAATCCATTAAACCCAGTCGGAACGCTCCATTCGCTCTTGCAAACCATTTCCCAGATACCACAACGCCGTTTCCCCAAACCACCACCTCTCCCACACAGCTTTTCCTCCCGTATCGAAATACCCTTCAAGATAGCCTGATCAGCTACAGAACGACACGCCAAAAACAAATTCACGATATACAGGAGACGGTAAAGAGGATCGTAATTCGCCGCACCGCCACGCGCGGCGATGGGCGCGGCGTTTTCATAACTCGTTTCAACGTGTTGAATGGAGCACCGGACTTCATGTAGACCCCGTCATCGTGGACAGTCATTACTGTTTTCGGTCCGTCATTGCATGTTGTCGCCATCTACTACCTGAAACCATCGTCCTTTGCAGGCGAGACGTCGCACGCGACGCCGAGCAGCGCGGCGAATTACGATCCTCTTGTCACACGTACCCACGAATACAATGGTAAAATAACTAAAAGCAGTTGCTGAACCTTGCAAGCATACTGTTTCTAGCCTTTTTTTCCAGGAAAACAAGAAGGGCCTTGTGTAGAGAGTAAGCTCCAAGTATCACATCAATATTCGAATAGTCTATAGCGGTTAGTCCTTGATTCGCTCTTACAAGTGCCTGTTCGCGTTTGGGAGGGCACTTTCCCGCGGCTCTTTTGCAAGTTAGTGCTAAGTAATAGGTTACACTTTGGTGAGACTAACAAAATCCTGTGAAGCTGTTAATGGTTTGAGCGAGCCTTTTTGATTTTAGGAGTTAGGAGCGTTTACAAAATGCGCCTAACTGCGGTCCACTCTCCCCCCCCCCTCCCAGCTCCTCTCCCCGATTCAGTGGAAAATTCTGGGTACACACATACTCTTCGTAGCCTAGTAGCCACGACCCTTCGCTTCTATGCACCCCTCCCTTCATCTAGGTGCCGGCTGAGAGGTCTACGTTGTGGCGATACGAACTATCCAGTCTAGTAGACTCGACGTACTACAGCACTTCCATGGCTAAGACCCATGACTGCTTCAACATTTGAGGGTTCCTGCCCAGTAAAAGAGAGGCATACAAACAAAGGTACACTGGCTTGCTTGATTATAAAGAGTGAAAGAAGCATGATTTTAAACCCGGCGACGATCTTTTAGTGCAGTTGCGGTGGGCCTGAGCTGCCTATGTGCTGTAAGGTTGAATTAGCAGTCGCAACAGGCGTAGAAAATAAGGCGCACACGGGCGCAGAAAAATGAGCTTCAAATGACCGAGTTCGAATAACCTGTAGACCCGATTCCTCGTTAAATCCATTCGATCCTGGTCGGACACGTCATTCCACTTGCAACACCATTTCCACCGCATTACACGAATGCCGTTCCCCCCAAACAAGACCTCTCCCGCACAGATGTTCCTCCCGTGCTGACCCTTCGAGATAGCCTGATCAGCTACAGAACGACCACCCGAAAACAACACACGATACAATGCTAAAACAACTAACCAGTTGCTGAACCTTGGCGAGCACGTCAGCTCCCTTTTCACCTTGAACGGCCGCCGAACCGACGATAATCATTGGGTTCTTAGCAGACAAGAACTTCTGAAATTTGGAAGTAAAGTCGATTTTTCACTCGGCCACTGAACAAAGTGAAACGAACATAATTTAAAAAAATTACTATCCCAGTAGGGAGCTGCACCTAAATGCTCAGCACATTGAGCACGCCATATGTCTGACACCACGACAAACAGTTGCTTTCTGAGGAATGGTCGAGGGCCACCATACGAAGAAACAATGGTGAGCCAAGAAGAGGGGGGGGGAGGGATGGAGGGAATTTTCGCTTCAGTCTAGTGGAGAAAGAGCTTTGAGCTCACTGAAGCGCTCTGCCCCACCCTACTGAAAAAAATGCAAAAGAACGCAAGGGTCTATGCTATTGCAACATCTGGATCTTAGGCTGGGGACCACTACTGGACTAACTAACCTTTCTTATACTCAACATACTCGTTAAATACCTTTGCAAACGGAGTTTTTCCAGCAATAACGTCATCAATAGCCTTTGCACTGCTACCAATATGCTCGTAATCATAAGTCAGATCGGAGTCGCCACCAATGACACCAACTTCGATATCAGTGTTGAGGTAACTGGAACGACCAAGTACCCAGTCAAACCCCAATAATGACTGAACGGCAAGAAAAGCCGGAACAGAAAGCCAGAAGCATACTGTACCCACGTCTTTCTAATTCTAGCATTGAGAACCGGAGCTTCGTAACGAGGATTGGTGCCAATAAGCAGAAGAGCATCGCTACTTTCAACACCAACGATGGCGTCATTCATTATGTAGTTCGACCTGCAATAACAGTAACTGTTACAAGTATTCAGAGAAAAATTTGCGTCCTTATTGCAAGTTAGGGCGCCGTTCGGCCAGGTGGGGGCACCGAATGATACTCAGTGGTCCTCATACAGACCTCGTCAAGACCTGTGAATTGCTTGGACCAATGCGGCTAACACGGATCATTTCGCAGCTTCGCAAGTTTACACGTTGCACCAAAATGGTACCTGCTAGATAATACCTGGGAAGGAAATAATGTAAGAGTAAAATGCCCCTTCCAAGCAGAACAGCGCTGGTTGCTCTGTTGAGAACATAGTCAAGGAGAGCAGTGTAAAAGAATAAAGCAAGAATACATGACCTTACAACTAATACTCCTCAAAAATTGAAAGAGCGGAGATAAAATACCGGTTTAAAGAAAAAGTGTTTCATACCTCAAATCGGACGTTGCTGGGAATTCTTCTTCGGTGCAAACATTTTCGGAATTGAAACGATTGAAAAGATCTTTAAGTGCCACCAACGATTCTGAAATAGAACAAATAATACCCATGCGAATTTCTGATTCAGTCACGAAAATGTTAAAAATTTACTTCGTAACTCGAGGAAACGCCGCTGCGGGTCTCGAAATGCACTTTTGGCAACAAAGGGCGCGTTCATACTTCACGATCCGATTGCTTGGACAGCTAGACCGATGGGATCGCAAAGTACAAACGCGCTCTAACTGAAACCAACTTGAAAGGAGACCAATGACCAGTTAATTAAGTGCCAATGAAGAAGCTAAGAAGAAGCTCCACACCAGAAAATGTGTCACGGCAGGAAAACCGCCGGTCAAGGGGACACAGAAAGACATCAAATAAAGTTGCATATTACCTACCAACATCACTGAGGCCTCCGGCTACAGCCGCTTTCTGATCAGCAGGTGTTTCACGAAGTTTTTGGGCAACAACGAACAACGTCTCTTCCCATGAAGCTTGTCTGGAAGCAGCTTATTATAAACCGTTTCCATTTTCAGTTCACGACTTTTCGAACCAAGTTCACGGCTTTTCAAACCAAATTCTTCTTTTTGCAAAATCTGGAATTTTTAAGCTCTCCCACTCTCGAAAATGCCTCAAATTAGCAGGCTAGTGCCTCAGCTAGTAGCTTAGAGTCTCGGTCATCATTAGAAGCGAACATTGCCTGTTTTTGTTCTTCCCAGCGAGACTGTGATGTGCAGTTGGCACCTTAAACTGCTAATATTAGGTGTTCGCGAAAATTGAAGGGGCTTTTGAAAAAAGTTCGAAAATTTTGCAAAAAAAACGCATCTTGTTTGGAAGTTCCATGAATTCAAATGGTATGTAAAACCAAAACCTAAAGACTCAAAGAAGGCTAAGTTGGAAAGAAAATGGACCACCTCAAAACACCATTCTGATCCTTCATCATCGGACACATCAACCGCTGGGTCTTGAGTCCATCAATAGCCCAGCGAGTCTGATCACTGATCCACTCTTCATTGACTTCCTAAAACAGGTAATAATTTTAGAACCCATAAGAGTTCATAACGCACCCATCGACTCATAAGAGACACTTCGAAAAAGTGCATCAAAAACAAAGCAGTGAAACAATTACATCATTCATTTTCGGGATAACACGTAGCAAGTCGCCTGTCCTATGTGATATCACAATATTCGAGCCTATGGCGTCCATAACATCAACACTTTCCGTCTTGCGAGTCTCCCAAGGTCGAGCAGTAAAGCTAAAAGTGTCGCACGTCATCAGTACTCCTTGGACAGACTGCAGTTCAAAAAAAACTTTCTCAATAAAGGTGGGAGTCGAAAGACAGACACAATCCCTTCTAAGCCATAGAAAACCTGATATCAACGGATCAAAAAAGCCGAGACATTATTGGGCGTTGGGCTTAGGGAGGGGGGGGGGAGGGGAGTTGCTATTTTCGCTCGTTTCTTTTGCTAGAGCCTGTTCAATTACACGTCTTACCTTGAAGAGACCTGCAGACCTTGTCATCTGTAAACAAAACTCCTCCTACTGCACAACTTTACAAGAGTTAACAGGCCTCTACTGGAAGCAGTAATCAATGTGAACCGGCAAACTGCCCCCACCGAACCGAAAAGCGCCCATTATTCACATGAATAAAATACATGCATGCGATTATCTAGGAGAAATCGATGGCTCGGCTAATTGAACGTCTTGTGCACTCAAATCAGTACACCCGACGTTCAATGGGTCCGAGCCTTGATGTAAAGCCAAAAAAAGAGTAAATCTTTACCTGTACGGCTTGCTGGTGAGGGCACCAACAGGGCAAAGATCAATCACATTTCCAGACAATTCAGAAGCGAAAAATTTCTCGACATAGGTACCAATCTGCAAAATTCTCAGTCATGAACTTTACTTAATAAAAAATTTGGAATAATTCGACGCCATATAAAAGGGCTGTATGCTGCAGTTGTTGTAAACATTCTGGTCAACACAGATGGGCTTATTTGGCCAAATGGACAACCTAATCAGGGCTGTTCATCAATGAGGAGGTGTAAAGCTTATACTCCATCTCTGTCTCCACTATAGAACTCGTCAGCTTGGTATTATGAGTTCCATCTTTACCTTGAAATAAACAGTAAGAGCGGGAGGGAGGGGGGTACATGCTCAATTCTATTCCGTGCGACGAGACCATACCACAAACTTGCTCATCCTTTGCAACAAGGAAATACGAGCCCGTCCCGAAATACTCGAACGTTATGCTCTGGGAATGCGCATACACTTCGCGGCAGCGTTTTGACCTTCTGCCAGCTTTTTGGGCGTTTTAACATTTGAGCTAGGAAAATATGTGTATCAATCCAGCGTTCTGACCGTACACCACCTCTTCGAGCGTCAGCCAGCGTTTTCAGCGATAATCGATGCGTTAACTTTCTTAGTCCCTAGTTACGCTCGACCCTCCCCAAAAGGCACTCAACATGCTGCCGCAAGATATGAACGCACTCTGACAACCATTCCGCCCTATACTTACTCCAACCTAAACTATCTTTATCCTTACTCCTTTGCTTCATAAAGTTACGCATTCAGAAAACGATTTACCTCTCTACTTCGCTTAGCAGTTTCAATAAGAAGGGAAGGTGCAACATTTCTGGCAACTGCTTTTTCAAAGGCCCACAAAACACACAAAATACAAAATAAATAATTACCTGCAGATCAGATCCTCTTCCGGTTGTTCCAAAATCGGGGAAGGCAGCTATCTTAATAGTCATCGTATAAAGTAAATTAGCGAGTACTTAAGCGGTTTATCACACCTCGTTTGCAAATCGTACACAACGTGTGCAGTGGATGCACCGAGTCATGACTGTTTTCACAAGTGGGCCTATGTTCTTATCCTCGACAGCTCTGAAACACGAGAATATAGTGCTTGCCTTCGAAATCCAGCTTCACAGCCTACCTCTTTCCATCGTAAGTGGCTACGAGGCGACCACGATCGCTTCCAAAAGCCATAGATTGATCTTGCAGGTCACACTCACCTCCCTAAAAAGCCAGAGACAATTCACGGTGGGAATCACCTGATCGTAAGGCTGTGTTCATAGTTCGCAACTCGAGCGATTCTCGAAACGCGCGACTACGACCGCGCTCTATGCTGATACATGAACTGATGTGACTTCCAATCCGATCAATTTCTGGAAAGAACTTGTGACAGTTCCACCTAGCCACCGATTAGCGGTGAAGCGCGGTTGGCCGTAGTTAGGAAATCGCATGTTCCGCGAAGTATGTACGCGCTCTGAGAAAAGAAACTAACCTGATCACAGATGGGACAATCAAGGGGATGGTTAGTAAGCAGGAATTCCATAACTCCTTCTCGTACCTTACGTGTAAGTGCTGAGTTGGTTTTTACCCTCATTCCTTTCATTACTGGCATTGCGCACGATGCCACTGGCTAAAATAATACTCTTCAAAATGG